TGCACCAAACAAACATAGATTTAAAGGAAGTTCACCTTTCTGCCACCTTTTTCCAATTGGTTTGTGTTCATAAATAATTGTATTACATATGAATCAATAAAATGCTGCGATAATTTAATTTGGCATAAATTTTGAGCTTTTTTTTTTTAGGCTTTTAGCAGACCGCATTATATCGAATCAGTGTTAAGTGGGAACTTACTGTAGTTTTCATTTTACTGAAAAAAAGATACAGACAATGCATTCCTAAAAATGTATACAAAAGTTGAACAACAGCATTGCATGTTTCAAGGAAATTAGTTTCCAGATAATTATTATGAAAAAGTAAATATTTTATTTGTTGCAATGAATAAAACCATGTTTTTATCTAGTTTCTCTTCAGTCTTTTTGGTTTTAATGTTCACAAATGATTTTGCTGTAACCATAGCTTTAAATTTGCATTTGCACATTCCATGCATCAAGAAACAACCCTGAATAAGGAAACATGCTAAGATTTTCAGAATAAAACTTCACCATGCCATTCCTAAAAGTGTCTAGAACTTGCTAATGTAAAGTGATTTCTCCATCACAATAAGTATAGATCATACCCTATCAATATTATGATTGAGACCTGTGCTTCTGCAACTTGTGATTTCTTTTGTTTCTGCTACTGAAGAAACCTTTGAATGACAAATGGTTTGTATCCAACAAAGAGGCTTGTAGAATAACAATAACTGTTTGACATTACTTTAAAAATGGATTTTCGAAATCATTTGATGTGGCTGTAACAATGGCATAAGTGTGTTTAGGTAAAGGAAGCACGACAATCCTCAAAATATGTAGAAAATAACAAGAAGTCTAGGATTATTCTGCAAATTAAAAATGATCAGCTGGTGTATTTCTAAAGAATTTGAGCTCCAAGCCATAATTGTTTTGGTGATTAAAAGCTAATAAACTAACTCTTTCATTTGCATTTCAGGAAATCTACCACAAATCAAACGCACCGTGGATCGTGGTTGGTGAACGAACTGAAAAATGTATTGGAGGAAAATAATGTCTCCACCAAAGACCTATGGAAACTGATGAACAGAGTCATCAACAACATTATAGAACAGAGAAATGAAAAGTCGGGACCTATACCTGAATTAAGAAGTACAGTAATGCGTCCTCTTTATTTGAAACAATTGAAGAATTCCTGTCCCGTTCAAAAACTGACAGCTATTAATGCAGAGAACTGTCCATCATTATTCCAACTTATTACAAGCTTTTCGGTCCTACCAGATGTTTATTTAGTGTAAAATTCTTGCTCGTTAAATACTATTCACAAAAATACCCGTGATCAAAAAGTTTCAGTAAAACGCAAAATTTTAATTTATTCATCAAAATTCATTTTATCTGCTTAAAAAAGTAATCGCCTCCCATTGCAATGAACTTGTGCCAATACTATTGCCAATTCTCAAAACATACATTAAAATCATTTTCGTGAAACCCCTTTGGGACTAGCAACGAATTTTGTTTTATGGCATCAATCAGCTCAAAATAGTGACCACCAAGCGGAAATTTTAATTGAGGAAATGGAAAAACGTAACATGCTGCAATATCAAGTGGATGCAGAGCTTGTATTTGTTTGAATTTTTGGCCAAAAATTCAAGAATGTAAGAGCATTGTGAGCAGGTGTGTTATCCTTGTGCAAAATCTGCAAGTTTTCTTGCCACAAATCAAGTCATTTTCTACAAATTGCTTCATGCAAATGATGCAAAATGCTCAAATAATCAATCTTTGTCGAGAGTTTGGCCAGTCGGAATGAATTCGTGATGCACAATACCTCAACAATTGAAGAAAACATTTAACACGACCTTGATTTTTGACTGGCTTCAACATGGTCTGTTCGGTCTCGATTCACCTTTCCAGTGTCATTCAATCGATTGTTGAACCGTTTTGGTGTCAAGAGCATTGATCCAAGTTTTGTTACCCGTAATGATAAGAGCGATTTGCCTCAAGAAAGCATTTCCTTGGCCTCTCGAACATTTGTTTTTGGAAAAAAGAAATCAACATTTTGGGATTACTGGAGAGGAGATGCACCGCAAGCTTAAATGATCTTTCAAAATTGCTTAACAAGGCCCAAATGATACCAGAATACGTTCAACAATGTCCCTATTTTGAAGTGGATTTACCAAAGCATGATTCTTTCTCTGCCTTCCTCGAACATCTTGTACCACTCGAAAACTTTTATTTTTTTATAGACATTTCCAAAACTTTTTGATCACAGTAGTTTACTTATTTAAGTAGACAACATAACTTTTGACATTCTGAACTAAAGTTTGTCTTGTTGATTTTATACATCAACTTGGTGCCAATTTTTATTTCATTAATTAATTGTTACATTATGCATGCTTTTTTTGTGTATAAATTTAACAACGTTTTGAAATATGATATGATCATAGGCAATTTTTATAAATTCTCATTTAAATAAAGCGCAATCACGAGAGCTTATGATTCCAAACTAAAATGTCGGCATTACAGAATATGGTTTAATCATTGATCACAAGCCATACAAGTATCACGTCTCACAAAAAAGCTGTAGGAGGAAAAACAATAATTGCAAGATTATTATGAATATTCTTTTCCATAAGAAGGAATTAGAATAGAATTCTTGAAATATCTTGTTGGAATCAATCATGAATTGCATATCACCCAACAATTACAGTATCTTCAGCAAATGTGTAGTAGTACTCATTCTAACGTATTATGCACATCAAGGATTAATTTTCTTTCCAGTTCCGAAGAAAAACAAGTTCTGTATTCTCTCTAGAAAATAAAATCTATTCTCAATTTCAACAGAATAATAGACTAATGTGAGACTAAAAGATATTTTTTGCAATTCAATTAATGTAGCTAAGTGGGAATTCATCTTGTATGACAATTTGTTAAATTATGAAATATAAATAAAACTATTTTTTAAAAAGATTTTAAATTGTTATCGTTGAAATTTTACAGATTTATGATTCGGGTTTAAAAATGANTAGTAAATATAATACAAAGAAACACAAATTATTAGACATCCACAAACCATACAAATACATTCCACAGAGAGGATTGGAAAACAACATGCACAAAATATTACTACAACAGAGTCATAATCACAGAAAAACAATTTACCACAACAGACCAGACATCACACTCATTGACAACCATATTTTGCTTCTTTTGGCAAATAGAATACAGTGCAGCTCAAAACTTTAAGGACAAGCATTATTCCAAGATTAAGAGCAGTCTTGAATTGAAGAATTGAGAAATCAAATTATAATAAATCATATTATTCTGACAAATGTAACATTATTTATATTAAAATTACAGTATAGTATCATATTAATTTAAAAGTATTTGTATGTATGTATACAGGGATCACTCTGAAAATTTTTTAAAAATCACCAGCCATTTTGCTAGTTTTTAATTTTTTTTTTTTTTTCCTCCACTTCAAATTATTTATTGCCACCAGCTTTACTTCCTAATTAATGTAGATGCTCCTATTATTATAAGTTTGGAGTCTGGAAAGCAAAAGTACAGGAAATCCTTGTTAATTCAAACTCAGATTGTTTGAAATCCTGTTAGTTTGTAACTTTACTATTGTCTTGGCCATGGATATAGAGATTTGCACATTAAGGAGTTTGGTTAGTTCAAAATAAGGCTACTTTGAAATTTGAAGTGAAAATTCTGTCCAAACTGTGATATTCCTATGTTAACTTGTTCATTTAGATCAAAGTGTCTCCATACTATAAGAGAACAATAGGCCAAGAACAACTCTATTCTGGTCGATGTGGCTTTGTTTTTACATTAACACATTTTTGGGTGTCGCCTTACCCAAGAACTAACCTTTTTTCTCCTATCTCATAAAATACAACTGGTTTTTGGGATTGCAACTGAGCTATGAGTAGCAGATTGAGATATTTATAGGGCTCTAGACTACTACATTTGGGTAACTTACTACTTTTTGGGCCACTTTAAAAATAATTTGGGCTACATTTCAAGGAATCTGCTTTACTTTTTATAATACTTATCTAACAACTTGTGAGGTTCTCACTGGACATGTGCTGTTTACCTACAGCAGTGCTTCTCAACTTTTTGGATCACTGCCACTCTTAGTTGTGAATGTTAGTAGTAATGCTCTATGTTCTGTGTACACAACAGGGATAGGAGGGGACAAAGCTTAATGCTCCCCAGGGGTAATATTGCCCACTTTGGAAGCATTGATCTACAGTTTATTTATATTATTATTAATTAACAAAAATAGTGTTCTGTATATGTATCCATATTCCATTTGCTTAATAAATTACATTGATTACATGGTATTTGGCATATTGTATAGATATATGTAAAGCACAGATAAATTTAAACTCAATAATTCAAAGTTACAAGTATTTTGTTCCTTGAATTTTGAAGTAACAAGGATTTTCTGTAACATGTTAAGCTGTCACTTAGAAATAGGAATCATTTTTGAATAATTCTTTTAATGAAGAATTCCAAATAACACATTTTATCAAGATGCTTAGACAGTATTTCACATATTCTGTCATGTCAAAATTTCTATAGTTTAGTCTACTGAAAAGAGATCAAAGTGAGAAAAATGTCACTCAAAAATTCCTCAAATTTTCTCTGTTGATAAAAAATTCCCAGTCTGCAAACTCTGGGTAACATTGCAAGAAAATGCCTTTGATTGTCAACATTGCTTCTTTTTTCCTGCCCAAACTTGCTGCATGACGTCATGAAACTGTTAAGTGTGTGGTGCACATAACTCCCATCCCATCAGAGCTTGACATTCTGCTGTTTTTCCTGAAGCATGCTTTGTGATTCAATTTCATGCTGAATGTTGAAGTAAGTAGACTAGGGTTTTTATAGACATTTTAATGAAATGTCTATAAAAATCCTAGTCTACTTACTTCAACATTCAGCATATTATAATTAGAATATAAATATATTATAATATATAATATAATTAGAATTATAAATATTAAAATATTTTCTAGAAACACTGATTGATCTGTGGCACAAGTATGGATTTGACGTATTGGTGTTTAGAGATCTGTCTTCTACGGAGATGATAGAAGTAATTGAAAGATTTAAGGAATTTCATTATGAAAACTACAATGTTTTTATAACTTGTATTTTAACACATGGAGGAAGAAACAGTAGTAATGTTTTCTTTTTCATACTAAAAATATTACTTAAACATACAAAACAGAAGATGATTTTGTCAAAAGAGTAAATTTCATTAGTTTTTATCCTCTTAAAGACACGATTTATACATCGGATAACATTCCTCTGGATGTATACGGAGACGTTGCCTATAACATATGCACCGAAGTTCTTCAAGAAAAACCAAAACTACTGTTTATTCAAGCCTGCCGAGAAAATATAGATATTAATGGTGAGTTAGTAATTTATGGTATTAGTTACATGCCTTAATATTTTTACTGTGCCTTATTGATTATACTTCTTCAGATTTTTTAATGTTTCCTCGATGGATCTTCATTTTGGAAATGAGGAAACATTAAAAAACCTGATGGACTCGGAAGGAGTTTGAAAATGTTTGTTTTCATCATCTACACACCATAATTGATCATACTTCTTTTTCACTTTTAGTTATTTAGTTAAATATCAACATACAAATTTAAATATCTTCATAAAGTACAGTACAAGATGTGTCTACAAAGTTCAGGAACTGAATTTATAAAAAGTTTTTGACAGAAATGATGCAATGTAGTATCAGTCTTCAAAATACACTTTTCTGTCATCTATACAAATTTCTGCCTGCTCTAGTAATTTATGTATGCCCTCAAAAAAAAATCTTTTCGGAATGTTTAATTTCCTCTGCACAGCCTCTCATATTTCCAAAATTGGCTGAAGTTATCTTCCTTCTAGAGCTAATTTTAGTTTCAGGAACAGGCACTCAATTGAACACTTCCTGTTCCCTAAATTAAAATTAGGTCTGAAAGGAAGATAATTTCAATAAACTTTCTGAATAATTAATGAAAAAAAAATTATCTTTACTAAGGCAACTAGTCATAAAAATTACATATAGGATATCAACATAATTTCTTCCTAGAATTTGTTGTTGAATGATCATTATAGTATGAGTCAATAATAAACTTATTTAGTGTTATGATTTCAAAGCATAAAATTCATCCAGATCTTAGCAGTGGTGTACTTGGTGCAATTTTATGATAACTGTACATAAATATTTGATTGCAACATTCTTGCAATTGAAATAAGTTTTAAGACCTGCTATGATTATACAGTGATACGTTAGTTTTCGTCGATAATCCATCCGAAAACAATCAGTGAAATCCAAAACTGATGAAAACTGATGCAGTCATTTCCATATGAATCAATTTAAATCCAATTAATTCATTCTTTACACTCCAAAATACATACCAAAAACATTTTATAGAGACTAAATATTGTGTGTTTCAATACTAAAAACAATAAGAAATTAATACGAAAAGAATATAAAAAGTAAGAATAAATGAATATTTAACATAGTATTTAATAAGAATTTAAAAATCTGGGAATTCTTATTTTATTTCAAATTCATATTAGTATTCCATCCATGCACTTCATATAATTTCATAAGTTGTTCGATAACATTTAACATGACATTTGAAGAGTTGCTGGCTCTGGAAACTTTCTTTGGTCCCATGATGGAGCTAAAAAGAAAGGAAAGCAATGGAATTGTTTGGCTAGACATGCAGAGTAATGCTCACAAGAGAAACAATGCCACACTGAGCAGGAAAACCCATGGATTGTCCTATGTTTTTGCAAAATTAGCAGGAGGTTATGTGGGCATGCCAATGAAATTGAGGCAACCAAGAAAAATTTTCTGTGAAAAAAATCAACAAAAACTGAAACCGACAATAACCGAAGTCAGAAAAACCGAAGTATTAGTGTATATGTAATTTCAAATGAGGATCGTATGTATCTCCAGTAAGGTTGGACTTAACAATGATTTTACTTGTTACAACTTTTTATAAAACTCATCCCTACCCTCAAAAATGAGCTTTTATCCATTTTATAATAGTTAAAAATATAAAAAAAAATTTGTACTTTCTGGAGAAAAATAATATAGTCAAGTTTTTAAACTGAAAACTTGACTATATTATTTGAAAGCACAATACAGGCATACCTCGACTTACGTCATTTGTCAAAAAAGTATATGGAAAAATAAAAATCAAGTTTAAGTCATTTTATTCAACTTTACGTCTGTCCGCCACAAATATTGAAGTCGTAATATCACTAGATAAACGTTTAAAGCACATAAAATCATATTAAAATATATACAAGTATGTACTGTATTTACAGTACACGCATTCGTAAATTTAGATTACTTTTTTTGTACTATATTAAAAACTAAAATTTATTTGTTTGTAAGCTTAAAATAGATTTTTATTAACCATATATTATTTAAAATGCTTTCCTAGTGATAAGTAGATTCGGAGACAGGTAAATTCGACTTACGTCGTTTTCC